AGGACATGTTGCTAAGTTTCTCGTGGCTTATGATAGGGCTCTGGGCGGTGGTGAGGAAGGCACAGACACGAACTATATTGTCTATCATATTCCTATACTGGTGGGGTATGCCATCTAAAATGGTGTAATACTTCAGCCGCTGAATCGCGCGCTCAACGTGCACGCGGGCTTCGGCAACTTCCCTGTTGTGCATCACCTCTTGCTTGGTGAACTGAGGCTGAAATAGATACGCAGGTGTGTTGACGGTGACGCCATCAGGTACAATGTCCTTGATAGGAAAACCTTTGTCAGCCAGGATAAGGTCGCCTGTGGTTAGCTGCTCCAACAGGCCGCTAGTCTCCACGATGTGCTTGTCAGAGGCATTGCCGCCGTAAACGTCACTGACAAAGTTCACAGTGCCATTGGGTGCCACCCCAACCATGACCTTGAAGGTGTTGGCAGCTTTGTAAGCACTGTAGGTGCTTGAGCGGCCCTCACAGCTATCAGGTCGCTGAATCCTAATTTCTGTGCAATCAAGTGTCGTCCTGCAGTGCCTGAACTTCCTGAACGATGCTGGCATAGATTGAGAATTCTTTTCTCTACTAGGCATTCCCTTCCCAAAAATAGGCTTGAACAGAGCCTCAGCGAAGATGGACACAAATGTCCTGAAGACATTTGTAACGGTGGCTACACTCTTGTTAAATCTCACGCTTAGATCTGTGTGCCCAAAGTTGTGTCGCAGTTTCATCAACACCAGGAGAATTTGGTCCTCTAATGTCATCGTTGTGACCTTGAAGGTGTGGTATGTAAAATCACACATGCTCACATATGTGACTAGGGTTTCAAACATTGCTCTGCTCAAACTAGTATAGTAAGTTACTAGCTGTTCACTATGGCTAATCTGGTTGTAGCAGAACCTCTGCTGCTGATAAGCTGCTGCAGTTTCAAGTCGTTTGATATGCTGTTTGAGAAGCTCGTTCTCGGCAGACAACATGGCCTCACTATGCACAGGTGGTCCAAGGACAGCATCTTCCATTTCCACAGCTGCATCTTGTCTTCTGTTTCCAGGAGAAGAGTGATGGGGTCTGGTATCATCAGGCAAGTTGATCCGCTTCCCTTCATTCCATGGAAACCTCACTGGACCTGCTTTTTTGCCATTAGGGAAGTGCCACGAACAGATCCTTGTGTGTTCGGTAGGGGTGAAGTTCTCCCTCCTGCAACAGAAAAAAAGGGATTTCATGATGATTTAGATTAGGCATGCATGATTAGGATGACGCAAGTTACAAGCCCTTCAAGTAGAAAATATCCACAAAAACAGGTTCGTGCGATTGTTTCTGAAATGAAGCTTGTCAGTTTATTAATAATTTTCAATTTGAATGTTACAAAATGTAAATGTTTCAATGTTCATATCCAAAACATACAACAGACTTGGTAAATATATTTGTGCTATGACTACTGTTACTGCTATTTATGGAGTACCTACACACCATGCACAAGTGATTGACGATCAAGGCTCCGAGTTAACCTTGTGAATCATTCCGTAATGATGCCAAAAATAAATATTTTTCATTATCTGATATTATATACACTTTTATAGCTTTTATAGAAATAGTTAACAATAATTTGATGTTTTATTAAAAGGTAAGATGCCATATTTCCCTTGCATGATTTATGGAAAAGATTTATGATGGGATTTATGAAAGCTTGACGTGTAAAATATGCTGATTCTCAAAATTCTTACTAACCTTATCGCACGAATGTAGCGTTGACGGATCAGTTTGTTGCTGGGAAACCTGTAGAACGCATATTTGTTTTTGTCCCCTGACCGGTTCGTACAGCCTGGGACACAGCAATTCACCATCTCGATGTTCAAAGCTTAAAACAAGCGTGCGTCTTGTGATAGCTGACCTGAGGTCTGAGAAACACAATATATCTAATTAATAACCCACTCCAATTCACTACCTATTCACAGCTAGTACATTTGCCCATTGGTGCCCGTGTTATAAACGTAATGGCGCAATGTCTATTCTGCGCCAAAATCGCACAAGTTTTTTTAATTTAGCAGCCGTGCAAAAAAAATCATGTTTTTTGTGCAAATCAATGAATATAAATGCATTTAAGTCGACCAAAATGACAACTTAATACCATTTCCATTATTGAAACATGACATAACATCGGTAAACGTCCCCAAATTCTTGCATTTTAGTTATGAATCGTTTGGCCTATCTCTACAACATTAGCGCAGTCAGCTGTTGGAACCGTGACGTCATCACTTAACAGCCCTATAACCAGTCAATCTGCGAGCACTAAAAGCAGTCCATCTGCGAGCTAGTCTGTCCTCCGTCCTCCTCGAATTTCGGACGGGACTCGGTCGCCAGCCGCAGTGTCCGCGCGGCGCGCTGTTCCGTGAGGACGGGAGCTCCTCTCGCCCCATATGAACAGATGTCAAATGGCCCGCGAAAGCCGGGCGGCCCGTGTTTCCATTTGCTTTAATGTGATCTAAAGCAGACGGCCGGTCCCTGCGGGTCTGGCGGCGGCGGCGGCGGGCGGCCCAGCTGCGGGCGGCCAGCCCCGGGGGCGAGGGGACGCGCCCGTCTGCCGCGCCGCCCCGCAGCGCGCCGGCCCCGGATGCGGCTAATAATTCAGCGTTAGCCACGCGGCCAGTTTAGGGCGGCAGACAGTGACAATTTGTCTTCTCGGTCGCCGCGGTGCCATGGCGCTCGTGAGAGGAGCCGACGAGCGCTGCATGACAAAGCCGGCGGACGGACGGCGTAAAACATCCACGCCACGCCGGTAAATGGGCGGGCGGTGAGCACGGCTGCACGCCACACTGCATGGAGCGAATGGGAAATGGCAGCCGCCGGAGCCGCCACTCATTCCACGTAATCGCTGACTAATGGAAGCGCATGCAGCTGTTGGCATGCACATTGAGCGGTCTGAAAATATACATGAATGATGTGGCTTTCCCATCGTGTGTGGCATTCCCTAAATGTGACGCATTGTGAGTGTTTTGTCAAGTTGTAATTTCATGACGAATTTTGAATGAGAGATGAAATCATCGGTGGTTTCATACTGCGATACTCTTTGTCTTTATCTCTATAGGTGCACGCAACCTTATGTTTTGTTCAGCCCATTCTCAGCCTTCCAAAATGACCAATACCGAGTCACGAAAGCACTTTCAAAAGACATCACTCGGCCATTCCTCTCTCACCAGCAGTTCAGCCACACCCCGCCGTGGAAAAACAGCCCGCCGCGTGCCGCGCTCATCTCCAGTCGGCCACAGCTGATCAAACGACCTCGCTGCCAGGAGCGCCGCTGCTCGCCGCGCGCCGCCAACCGAGTCACGATCGTGGCGCACGGAGACACGTGGCGCAGCTGCCGGCCGCGCCACTTGGAAACGGCACGGGCGAGGCCACCGGCACAAAAAGCTGTTTTGTTTTTCCGAGCTGATGCGCCGTTTGGTGAGACGAGGGCTGAACTGTGAAAATCGGCGTGGCAGTTTCAGTGTCTGGGGTTTTGTCCGCACCTGCTGACGTAGTGATGAAGTGATGGCCAAGGTAGAACAACAGACTTTTATGGCGCCGACAGCAAAGAATGTGCTTATTTTTGTCAGCTGCCATGTTTGTTTTAGACAATGGCAAACAAAAGTGCGCTGGATCTGTTCACGGAAAATGCATTTCGATGGGCTGTTCCATTCAAACGATGGCTCATTATATAGCCAAACGTCCAGTAGACCGAATTGAAACGAAGGATGCACCCAAGTATGCCTCGTTGTTGCATGAAGATACCTAATTTGAGCCATTGACGCTTTCGGTCTAATATCGCGTGTTGCTGCTAATTCATACCAAAGAGCAATGCTACCTCAACCTTTTAGCACTACAACTTACATATAGCTAGTCTGCCCAATTTTGTTCTATAGCTGCGCAAAGTAACACAACATCTCAAATACTTTGACACCGATTTTATTTTCCCTCGAAAACTAGTTTCTATAGCACACAAAAACTGGGGAGCCACTCACTCGCTGAATGCCGTTATCGGGCCGTCATTTCGTTCGTTTTGGGCGCTCTATTCCACAGAGGCTTTCAGCGTTATATCTGCAGCTCTGGCGCTGGTGTTTGGCTGTTTGTGTGGGATAGAACCCAATCTACGAGTACAAACTCAGCCGAGCCCCAGATAAGAAATGAATGAGACTCATTTCGACAGATATTCCCATTGAGCTGAGGTGCCATAAATATGGCCAGAATTCGGAATCGTTGAGCTTTGGGGCCATTTCAACCTGAGTTATTAAACCAAGGCGCACCGTAATTTAGCAAATTGCGGCTCATTTCCGTTATATATTTTAGAATAAATCAAAAACGTTATTCATGCGTTGCTGTTGCCAAGCCGCGCAATGCAAACTTCTTATCTCACTTGCAAGGCCAGCCATACAGAACATTATGTGATGCTTACAACAGTACCCGGGTGGTAAATGAGGCTGTACGACGAGAACAAACAAGGCACAATGAAATGCTTATGCAAAAGAGTCTTGAGTTAGTCAAGTCACCATGGTTTTGACACTTTTTAATGTACATTTCTATACAGTAAAATAAAGATGCAAATGGGGAGACAGGCTTATGGGCAAAATCACTAGGCATTCTCAGCGAATCGGCGATATCCAAAAAGTGCTTGTTCACTTCAGTTCTGGACTACATATATAATATATGGTTAGTCTGATGAATAAAATGACGGTTAGTGCAACATACCTAATTACCGCTTATTAGGCTGACTACTCGTACAGTGAGGAATGCTTTTCATTGACGCCTGTTGGATCAAACTAAGAAAATCCGCTTATGTCAGGGCCGTCCACTCAAAACCACAATATCGCACTTACTGAGGTGATCCGAGGTAATTAAATCGAGCTTTGGGCCGTAGCGCCGGTGCCGACTGGGTCAGTCACCTGAGCGGCTCGTACTGCGCATGCGCGGGCTACCAGCTGGTCGGCTCAGCGGCTCGGTCGCTCGGTCGCCCGGCCCGGCGGTCGCTCGGCTCGACCACAGCTCCCTCGCCGGTCGGCGCCAGTCGCGTGAGAGCAGAGCTCGAGGAGGGGTGCGTGACGCTCCCCCTCACCGGTGTCTGTGCAGGTGGCCGGCCGCGCTGCGGGTGTGGAGGCCGCTGGAGCTGTGTGCTGTGTCGAGCTGTGACGGCCGTGCTGTGTTGAGTTGTGTGATGCGCGGGTCGCTGGGTGCCGGGCTGCGCGGCGCGGCCCGGAGCGAAAACGGTGACGTCTGCCGCCGCTGTGAAGGGCACATTCTGTGACGGGAGCTCGTCAGTGCAGCTCTGCAGCTCCTGTGTCTGTGTGAGCTCTCTGTGCTGGTTACCGAGGCACGAGCTGGGACGGGGTGGAGCGGAGCCCTCCCTGAGCGGCACAGGAGCCAGCCATGCAGGAGCGGAGCATAGACGACCGGCGGGCCGGCGACCGGGCTGTGGTGAGTGCGGAATGGTTAGGGCTGAAAAAAATAATTATATGACAGAGCGTAACATTCTACTTCAACGTTTGCAGGCATTTTAGAAAGCAGCTTTAAGACGATAGTAAAACCGCAAGGTGGGTATTAGTCACTGCGGTAGAATTAGGTAAAATCACTCACCAAATAAGGGCGTAATCCATCTGCGTTTACAAAGACTGATGATTCGACTCTATTATGCAGGGGAAACTAGACACCGATTCAACATAATCCGTATAACACGTTTAAATGTCATCAACCTGCGTGACCCGTTTGTCGCCATGTGCAAAGTTTTGCGGAAACGTTTCTTTGTCACTGTTGTACAGCGTGCATAGTAATTTACCGCATTTACTCAGGTGCCATTGCGTACCTGGATCAAACAGGCATGATAACGCTAGTGCTACTATCTCAATTGGCATTACCCATGGTGGTTTGAGAGTAAAATGGAACGAGTGAAAAAGTATAAGCGCCTACACTCTAACCTGCGCTGGCTAGTGCAACATGGGGGGAGGGGGTAATAAATGGCATTCGCTGCTTTGGCAATCCCTCAAGTATCGCACACCTTTCACAAATCTTCTCCCAAAAGCAGCTACTACGCTTCCACAAGTAAAAGCGACTCTCTTGAGAAATCAACTGTCGTACGCCTATTACGATGCGAAGAAGCCAGAATAATTAACGCTACTTTCCAGCGAATTCGTAGCCACTCGTGTGAGAGTGAGACCATCTAAATGAGAAGCGTGTTTGTGTGAGTTCAGGCTGACGGCTCGGCGTAAATTATCCGGCGAAGAAACATGAGCTAAGAATAGAAGCTGGAAAAAGTGAACAGATAATGCTTCGGGTGTACGATGGCTGTTTTGTTGGCGAATGAACCGTATTTAGGGTAACTCTGCTCAAACTTTTTTCTGTTGTCTAATTTTTTTACTGAGCTTTTGCATATTTTTCTAAAACTACCGATAACTCGTGTTTGTTTTTCTATAGAAACAATGCTAAAGAATATTGCTTTTTTGGCCAGCGAGCACAAACATTCGGTTATCGCAAAAATCTGTAAATGACATTTAAATGAAATCGAACAATCCTAACCTGCTCATTTTGTATATCTTTCCTATGCGGTTCAATCAAAATTCGTTTTTTTTCTGGAATGGACCGCTTCATTCGGAAAAGTTTTTGCGACAAGAATTAAATGTATAGGGCTCCATGCTTTTCACTATCTTGTACGAAAAATACAAGTCTGGAGCATGGACTATACGTCATTGAAAAGACGCCTTCCCGTATCACCAAGAAACGTATCATTATTCGAATTACCATTAGTGATATGTGGAGGTAGAGGGAACATTTGTCTTTATTAGAGTACGTACCTCAGAGCGATAAGTGCGAGTTATAATGTGGATGCAATTGCCCTTACTGTCATCGGTGGAGAACATAATGAGAACAAACGTAATTTGCGGCTAAGCAATGAGCTCAGAGGCAATTATGTCTTTGTGCAGGCATAGGCATCGTTCTGCGTCCACTGGAGCTATCGTTCAGAGTATGCATTATGTTCTACGTTATTTTGTGTAAGGTTATAAAAACATGACCTGTTTTGCTTAAAAGTTAGATGAATCAATTATCAATATCATATCAAATGTAAACTCCCATCAAAAAGCACCATGGTGAGACTCACTGAAACTCTACCCATGCACGCTGCACAGAGACTCAGGTAACCAGACACCTGTGCGCCTGTGCATGCGAGATATATCAGATCTTGCACTCGCCCCCGCTCCCGCTCGGTCTCCGCACCCTGCCACGTGCTAGCGTCCTCCAGCGCGGCCTCGCTCGGCCGGCCTGTCGAAACGGAGCCCCCAGGCGCGCCAGCGGCGACCGAAAAACAAACAACGCTGGAGACGCCCGTCCGTCGCAGCGGCCACGGGACCCGTCCCTCGGAATGGACCTCAACTGGGCTGCAAACAGACGGGCTGTCCAGGGACTGTCGGCAGTGACCGCCCGGCTGTCCGCAGAGACGCGGAATGTGGTGAGAGACCAGAAAAGATGCCAGAGAGACGCCGAGAGAGACGCTGGAGAGACGCCTGAGACATGAGGGAGGCATTAGAGAGACGCCTGAGAGACGCGCTGGAAGACAGGACTTTGCTCCTAGAAGAGGAAGACAGCACTCAGGAGCGAATGTTGGGAAACTCAGGAGACACAAGCGCTGTAGTTACCTAGTTTCCAGAGGCCCGCTGCAGCTGGTGCGGCGCATTGGCCGGCACGTGCCGCAGCGGAGAGGGAAAATGAAGCGTCGGAAAACACACGCCTGTCAGGTGGAATGGCGCACGTGCGAGGATGATTTTCTCAACAAAGAGCCGATGAGCAGAAGCTTTTAAGGTGACAGGTTCGCACAATCAGCCTTTGTTTGAAGTTGCTGTGAAAGCAAACAACTCAGAGGCAATCGGATTGTCCGAGCCGCGGGGCGGTAGAACTTCTGGTAAATGGCATGTGGCGAGACGGTTAGCTGTTACTTCAAACGGCATGAGGTTTGCATAACTGTGCAATCGTATAACCCGCGCGGGGCTGGGGTCTCCAGCCGAACGCGCGGGGCTGGGGGGGGGGTAAATTTTACCCCCCCCCCCTGTTATCTCCCGAACTGATGGTCCGATTTGGAAAATTCAAACGCCAATCGAAAGATCTCATCACGAACAACTAAAAACATGTACTTAATTTTAAGTTTGAGGTCAAGGTCAAGGTCAGGTCAAGGGTACAAATTGCAAGTTCCTACAGTATCGGCCTTGCACCGTAGTTGCCGAAGAATGGAGTCATGGACTGAGACTGATCGCCCAAAACGTGTTCTTAGGCTACCAAGACAATATTCGTTGCATACAATATCATTCAGAGGTCAAGGTCAAGGTCAGGTCAGGTCAGGTCAGGTCACCAAAAACAAAATATAGAAAAGGGCATAAGCGACACATGTTTTATGGGTCATTTTACTTATAGAATTCAATAGGCACACTCAATAAGTGATATGGACCACCTCTAGATGAATTTCAGGTCGAGGTCAGGTCAAGGTCAGGTCAAGTGAGGTCAAATTTTGAAGTTGGTTGTTAAGGCCTAAAAAGGTGTCTATCTGATGCAGTTTTTCACGGCGAATCGAATGGTGCTATTTTTGTTTCCGTACGAGGTTTAGAACTTCCAAAAAAGTCATTTTTCAAAAATTGTGTGTGTCGTGACGTCATACAATTTTGAATAACTCCCACATTTTTGAACCGATTCTTCTAAAACCTGGTATGTAGGTGCACATAGACCACTTCTCTGACATATATTCCGGTTTTTTCGATACACTCAAAATTTTGGATTTTATAGCTATTTTCCCAAAAAAAGTCAGTTTTTTGAAAAAAAAATTTGGGCCAAAATCATAAATTTTCAAAAAACCGAGATAGCCATTTGATAGACAAAGTAAAACTACGTATATCCTTTTTTGTTACGTCTTGATTCCTTTAAAAATGAAGATGTTAGCGGCGTTTGAACTTTTGCCGTTTTTGAGGCGAAAATGGCGAACATGACGTCACTAAAACGTCAATTTCTCAAAAATTTTCCGACGGATTTCGCTCAAATTTTCAGAGAACGTGTCAAATTGATGTAAGAAAAGGTACTGAAAGTTTGGCGGCGCTGCGCGCCGCCGTTTTTGAGATATTGCAAATATTCGCGAGGGGGGGTAAAATTTACCCCCCCAGCCCCGCGCGGGATAAGTTACTAAAATAACGTTATAATGATAGTCAGGAATAGTTGAGGCGCAACCGAAAACTAGGATATTTGCTTTTTCGTCTGTCCATAATTTTGTTAGAACGTTTTGCTTGGTTCTCAAAATTGTATCCGTAGGCAAAATAGAATGTCGCCTCATGTGTTGCAAGATATGGGGAAATGTCTAGAATCACAGAATATGTCCTCTCATCCTCTCATCCATCCCGACCTGAATATTGCATAGCGATTTCACTGGAAAACAATTCATCGTCATTCTTACATTTCAGTCTGGAGCAGCTGCTGGCGCTCTGTGCTGCTTTTAATGTCTGGTCTCAACATCACATGTCACTCGCAACTCCGAAATGTGGGTGGACATGTAATAGAACTGTCACATTTTTCTCTGAGACTGTAGTTAAAGGTAGTGTGCCACCTTTGAAAGATTTCCCATTTTATTTTTCCTAAGATAAGAAGCTTCTGTTTTTACCTAATATCGCAAAAAAAAATCAAAAATGGGCCTGGAATAGTGCCTTTTTCGCCTAAAAGTTTTTCGGTTTTTAGATATGTATAACAACTGTAGTGGGCTCACCTGCAAACAGGCGTCGGGCAACAATCGCGAATGCGGCGCACTTGTGACAATAAGCAAAGGTCATTATAGTGTTACGACCATACGACGTACGGGAATGAGTTATCAGCTGTCTAATCGTAGACAACACAATGTCGAGCCTTAAACTGTAAGCCCGTATTGGTATTGTTTCTTTTATTTGGCTGTCGAACATTATTTATGGTTTGAAATATGATTTTATGTAAAATAATTGATATGAAAAAGCCGTCTTATAAGTTATGACCCCATTTCACCACACGCAAGTGGCAGAAATGACAATGATCAGCTGACGCATTTTTCTTGGCCGAAGTCAGAGCGCGCGGCCCGACGCACCACGCGTATTTGGAAATTCCGACCTCGACGAGCATCAGAAGCCACCTAACAGGCGTGTTCGAAACCGCCGGAGATGATGATGAACGGGTTTATCGAAACTTGATTGGATGAGCCTATCGGTAATAGCGATTTCAGTGTGTGCATTTATTGTTCATAGTGGTGTGAAATGTGGTTGGGGTACGACCGACAACCCGTCGGGGCGAATTTCGCACTGGGGTACTCAAAATTTGAAGAATTTAAGACGTTTCCATGAGTTTTGAAGGTATGGATAAGTTCTAAAAATCCGGTTCTCCTTATCTGGGCCATTAACTCCATACGGTCCAAGAAAGCTGGCACACTACCT